TTTAACATCACAACATATTCCCTAAATCTAAATAAATATCACCAAGCTGCACCTCTAAGAAGACTGCAGAGCCTGGGATGTAAGAGCATAAACATTTTTTAGGTACAAACAACTAAAACTACAATTAAATGAATTGTGAAAAATGTCCCAGCTCCAAATCCCTAACAACCTCCCGGACCCTAAATCACCAGCACTCTACTAGCCAGCAGTCACCATCCAATGCTTCCTGATCACGTGGCACGCCCACTCTATTTAGGGAAGTGTGTTGTGTTTATGAAGTTCTATAGTAAAGGAGGCAAAGTATTACATGCTGTTACTCTGTCAGACCAGGGGTGCCGCTAAAGAGGCTGGTAAAGGAAAAGGGGAAGGAGAAGAAGAGAGAGTGGGTTAACAAGATGGTGTACCGCTGTAAAGCTTAAATAAAGTGTTGAATCGAGACGTCGCCTCCGCTGCCTGATTACAAACGCAACAAATTGGTTCACTTCCGCTCATCACTCAGTCATCGTTCCTGTTTGAACCTTGCTACGAGTTACCAGACCAGTCAACCTTCTTACCAGTCTGCTGACTTCCAGTAAGTCCATTTTTCTACCTGTTGTGGAACCGAGGCACACCCTGATCTCCCGGTCAGCACGTGACTCGATTCCTATAGTAAACTGCGTGTCTGCTCTACCCAGCACTAGTCACTCTGCATTTGGATTTTCCCACACATGCCACAACCGAACTCCAGTCCCGTCACCTGGTCCTGATTCCGACCTTGACAAAAAATTGCTCTTCATGATGAAAAGAAAGGAAGAAAAAAAAACTTTTTTTTACTGTTGTGTTTTCTAGTTAGTAGCAATCAGGCAGGCAGCAACTTTATCCATATGAACTTTACTACAGCAGGAGGGACAAGCATACATGAAGTATTCATCTTGTAACTCTCAGCAGAACTTCCCCTGAACTCGACACTACACCTTTATTAGCAGTGATCTGCTGTCACCTAGTGTTCATTTCAGTACCATTTTACAATGTTCCATGTCCATTTACACTTAAGCCTGATTTATGCTTCTCCGTCTGCGTCAGTGCGGAGACACGCAGCGCCATTATCTGTCCTTGCGTAGGGCTCCGGCAGGCACGCAAGTACGTACGGAGTCGAGCCCACTTTTTTAAACATCCGTCGAACGAGACGGATTACGCAAGCTTGTGATTGGTCAGGACGCCGCTGTTGTTTACAGCGCCGCCATTGCAAAGAGAGCCGAGGATAACTAGCGGCAGACACGGAGAAGCTTGAAGAATACCTCGCGAAAAAACTAAAAATATGAACGTTTCATCCTCCCGTGACTGGAGGAGTGAAAAGATGCACAGCAAGTGTTTTATTTGTGGACGGAAATGACAGGAAACGTGGGTTTAGAGGTGGCGAGCGCATGAAGCGGTGGGAGAATGAGAGACAAATATGTCCGTGTTAAAAGTCTCTTATATTCACAAAACACACAATATAAACACACGATCCTGGACCGATACATGACAGGATACCACAGAACAGCGCTACGCCCTCTGTTGTCCTGCCGGGTAATTGCTTTGCACCACACTCCAGGAGACGGAGAAGTAAAAGAGCAAAACGCTTCCATCAATCCGTGCGTGTCTGTCCCTTGCGGAGCTGACGGAGAAGCATAAACCAGGCTTTAATCAGTAACACATATACTAATATTTACACGTCCCAACAAATACCACAATGGTTACTTTTATAAGTAAATGAGACCAAAGTAATTAAATAGACCTTGTGGTTACATAAATATATTTATTAAAGTGTAAGTATGTTATATGTGCCTCACTAAAATGATTATTTGTTTATAAAATTGCTTGGGCGCAAATTGTCTCGAATGATTAAAATGTGATTAATAAAGATTAATTAATTACAAAGCCTCCAATTAATTAGATTCATTTTTTATTGAGTCCCACGCCTAAATATAATATACTCATGTCCTGCATTTCAATGTCATTTTCCAACGTCATCTTTATTCTCTGTTTTCTCTCCATCTATTTATGATATAATTTCACTTTTCAGTTGTTGTTTTTTTGGCTAGTTTTTACAAATAATTTCTTACCTTGGTGAAGGCAGCCCTTTGAATGACTACAGTTTCCAGAAACAGATTATTTCAGATTAACAGTTGATCTAACAGACTCAAGAGTGCTAGCCACAGAGAAAATGGTAAATAGTCTGTATTTCTATAGCGCCTCCTTAGGATTCTACACCCCCCCCAAGGTGCTTCACAACACAATCAGTCATTCACACGTTCACACACACATTCACACACTGGTGGGGATGAGCTATGATGTAGCCACAGCTGCCCTGGTGGGCACTGACAGAGGCGGCCGAACACTGGCGCCACCGGTCCCCCTGGCCAAGTAGATTAATTTAGTTTTTGAAAAAGAAAATTAAAGAAAAAAAAGCTAACTTCAGAACTCTTAATGTGATATTTCACCAATTTCTGCTGTAAATAACTATATAATTAGATGTAAATTATTATGTATGATAGTATAAAGGTGGATGATATTTAACAAAATGTTGCAGCATTTTTGAAAATCACCATAAGACTGTTTTGTACCTGTCAGCTCATCAGTTTGGTCTGAATTATTCTGTTTCCTAAATGTGAGGCTGTTCAAAGAGCTAGCAGATGTGATTTTAGTTGAGAAAAAGCATAAGTCAATATTAATTATACCTTTGTATTTAACCTGTTGTATCATGTCACTGTGCAATAGTAGCACTCAGCTGTTTAAAGCTTGTATCTAATGAGCTCATATGACATTAAATGATAAGTACCAAACCATTAGTTTTACTTCAATATTTTTCATCCAAGAATTAGAAATATGACATGAATTTTTAAAAAGTTGGTGCTTTCATTTAAAATTTAACTCCATATAATGAAAGCATTTCCATTAAACCACTTCACGGCTTTGAAGCATCCAGGTGGAGTATCAGGATTAGTACCTTCATCTGAAAACATATTCACTCCAATACATGTCTACTGCCCCCTGGTGGAGGATCTACGGGTGGTAAGGGCTAATTTTAATTCTTTATTTGTCTTTACTGATATCTAATTTCATAATAAAATAAAACTGAGTATTTTACAGTTGTCATGCTAACTTTAGCTAATAAATTAAACCAAATTTAAAAAGCAAAAGTGTTATTATTAGTATTTTTTCATATACAAACTATATAATATGTCCCTATGGTTCATAAAAAGTATAATTTTAATAAAGCATAAGAAAAATAAATACTAGATAGAAATATCATGCTTCAACAGAACTTTTCACGATTCTTCTATGTCGTTGTTGTCTTCAAATCCTATAAAAGCACCAAAATCAACAATGTGTTACTTTGCGTTGAACTGGCTTCATTCTCCTCCATTTGATTCCCCCTCTTCTCACCCCCTCTTTCGCTCTCCCTCCTCCCTCCATCACACAGTGTCTGTCGGGTTAAACACAGTAATTAAACGTCTGTTTTTCTGAGGTGATGAGAGTCCATTGTGATGCTCTGACAGCAGGTGTAATTTTCTCCTTCTCCTCAATCATCTCTGACAGATGGAGCTGTGGGCGGAACAGCCTCCAATCACCGCCGCCGTTTTCAGGCCGTTCACAGCAGAAACGCAGGCTCTAAAAGAAGCTCAGCATCATTCCAAAACGCACAAGCAATCACACTCTTACGCACGCCCAACAACTATTTGAAAACTGACTAACCGCCATGAAATTGAGCAGCTGGAGGGTGAAAACTCCTCCACCTTCTAAACCCGCAGTTTAGGAAGAGAGAACAAATTAGAATGGAGGGATCAAAAGAAGAAGAAGAAGAAAAAAACCTGGAGGTCTACAAGCAATCTGTGTGTGTTGGTGGAAGTGAGTCAGGTGAGACAGACTCGAGGCAGGTTTGTTGTTTGCTCGGCAAAAAGGCGCTTTGAAGGGGCTCGGCTAAACGTGCTGACACAGAGAACGAGGGAAGGGATGGATGAACGGAACAGGCAGGAGAGCAGCAGGAAGAGGAAGAAAGACTGTTTTCAGCTTCCTCGGGGTGCGCTGCAAAGCCACAAGTAAGGATATGAAATGAAAGAGAGCTTTTTTCACCGCTGCAGGAGAACAACCGCGTTTAAATATTCCTCTTCTTTTTCTGAGTCTGCTTCCCCGCCAACCGTGACACTCAGAGCTGCTTTTAATGATCAACATAAGCGTTATTTCCTGATCAGCAACTTCTAAGGCAAACAGTTTAGATTTTTATGAAGAAGACACAGAAACCGAGAAGAAAAGTTGCCCTTTTGTTTCCTTCTACGGGGAGGATAAAACGTGTCCTAATCATCATGGTGAAATCATGAAATATTCCTTCAGGTGATGATTTTGAATAATATCATTTCCACTTGGAGAAAGCTGCAGACTGGGATCCCAACAACTTTTAATGGAAAGCAGCCAAAGCCTCTGGGAAAGACACTAAATGTCAATAGTCAGCTCAGCGTCTGAATCTGAATATTCATTATGTCATCATATTGTATTCCTCTCTGACCTAGTTTCAGCTGGTGTCAGCGCTCTACATCTGTTTGCTTCTCCCCCAATCTGTGCTCACTCTGTTTGTTAACACATCAAGTCCCATCAAAGCTGTTCCTACATTCATATCTGGCCTGTTTACCTTGACTACGGAGGTTTCACGGGAAATGATGTACGTTTTTTTTTTTACTAGTTAAGCAACTGGAAATCTGCATGTGACCTTTATTTTGAAAGTTTCCGGATGTTTAAAATTGCTTTTGTGTTTGACTTTCTGTCTGGCCTGATCTGCACTGCGGAGTTGGACGCCTTCGTTAAAAATAGACTCAAAATGTAAGCAATGTTTCATTATCCTTCTGGGATGCGTCCAAAACGTGATGTTTTGTGGTGGAAAAGAACCCGTCTACTATATCGGCAGCTAATTGCGGCAAAGCACGTTTTGCGGCCGTTTTGCGACATCTAGTTGAAAGGAGTTGTTTCATGACTCTCTTACTCACCACTATTTTGGCATCTCGGATGGTGTTTTCTGGCACGGTGACCCAATATTCCAGCTGCTCCCACTGTGGTGGCTGGTTGTGGACATTGGTGATGATGACAGTTAGTTCGACAGAACTGCTGCGGCTTCCTCCATCTGAAGCCACGATCTGCTGGTTAATCCTCGAAGTCTGTGAGGAATCACAGAATAAAAACCGTTTGGAAGCTGGAGCACTTTGGATACACACTAATATGTGCCTGAAGGATTCGTTTTTCCAGACTACAGGGTGGTTATTGCTGCTGTTGTTTCTGACCTGTGAGATGGGGTGATTGACATAAATCCAACCAGTACTGGGGTTGATTTGTAGGTAAGACTGTTTCTGATATGACAGCGAGTAGGATATGGCCGAGTTGCTCCCCTGGTCGTCATCATGGGCTGCTGCTCGCAGGAAACTAGTTCCTACTGGTGTGTCTTCTCTCAGGAAGTCTTAAAAGAAGCAGGTTTACAATAAATAACCAGATATTACCCAGGATGCACCTGCTCTACACAAAGCCCCATTCTGACTCAACCACAAACCCTGGATTTTAATACATTTGACAGAAGACAGCGTAACATCATATTATAGGATGGTAAGCAGAGATTAGAATAATGGGAACAGAACATTGTGATGTGTCAGCACAGTGTCACCTCATTTAGTCATTTCTGGGTCTCACACTGCAAAGTCAACACGCGTTTTTAAATTTATGAATATAACCTCCAATCCTGCTGACGGTGGCGCATGTCGGTGCTGATCAGACAACAAAAGCAACGGCAGCAAAGGAGGTCAGCTGCTCGCTGCATTTCTCTCCGTAATACTGCATTTCAAGCATTATGTCAATAGTACTGTCTGTCTTTTTCACCATTTGTGGGTCTCGGTGGATGAATTTCAAAAGAAAAATCATGTCAGATTCAGCTGGTTTCATGTGGTTCACTGACACAACAAGGAATGGCAAAGTCTTGAAGCCAAGCCTTAAATTCTACATTAAAGGTGCAATTTGTAAAAATATGTCATTCTGTGATCAAAAGTGGTTACTGCAGCCCGTTTGCTTCAGGCAAAAATATTACTTTATCAATGACGTTTCGTGAGTTACGTATCAGCACCAGAAGTTTTTAAATGACAAGCAAAGACAAGTCATACACAATAAGTTGATAAGTAGCTAAACACAGTCATATCTTGTGCTAGCTCTCTTGGGTGTTTTACGGTAGGGAGCACTTACTACACTTATTGCAGTAGTTTGTCTCTGGCATTAGAGGAAGTGTGGTGTTTGCTGTGTTGCTGTTAGCTTGCTGTTTTAGTTCTGAACGACTCAATAAAGGAAGTACAACGCCACAATTGACTCATTATTCACTTCGCATACATTTCACTGTAATATCAAGTTGTTGGTAATTGAAAAAATAGCTAGAGATATTTTTGCTTCAATTTCACCGTTAGCATTCTTAGCTCAACGTTAGCCTTTACTAATATTAAAGCAAAACAAAAACATGCTGTGGCTTCTTAGGGGTAAAAGATATTACTTCTGTGTTGCTCCTGTTTACTGGCTTTGGCTCTTTAAACTACTCTGGAGCTTTTTGTCTGTCGGTGTCGAATTTCAAACGAGTTAGCTCGCTGCAGATTTGGCAACACCACAAACTCACTGTGTAAACGGTGACCAAGTCTTGCTTTTTTTTTTTTTGCATATTATAGTTGTGCATATTTATTTGCTCTTTTACTACACACTTGTATCCTTAATTTACATACATAAACATTTTACCCCCAAACATTAGTGCAAATATGACATTTGCAACAGGCTGGTGATCTGTAACTGCCTTTTCGCTGCAAATATTTGCTGTAAAATACCAACATTTCCCAAGCGTTTTAAGTCTACACTAGATTTAAATTGCTGTCGTGTTCACAGACATCAGAAAGTTGCTTTCTGTTGCCAAAGGACACAGTTAACTCCACGGTAAACAGACTGCTATGCAGGAGAGGGAAACTCTGAACATGTTAAGGCTAATAAAAAGAAAACAGAAAACACCCACAAGATGCTCATCAAGCTGTCTCTAAGGCCTTTAACTTTTGCACAGAGTTCCATGAGAATCTAGACTATTAGATTAATAAGAAGCTGACTTAAAAAGAAGTTGTTTCTAGCAGCTGCAAACCCCCAAACAGCAGTAGTAAATTAATGCATGTCCCAGAAACATTTAAATCCACCTCTTAAATAGTTAATGAACCTCTCTCTCCGTTTCTGTAATTGGACGTGGAGAACCTCTGACAAGACGCTTATCAAAACGCATATTTGCACACTCAGTAAACAACACTAACCAACGGGGGCTGGCTGCAAACATTTCATCAGTCTTAAAAGCTTTCCAGGATTACAAAGATGCAGATTAGCAAATGACAGCGAGAACAAACATTCGAGTTTCTCTACACCTGCTCCGTCTAAGCTCCTAGCACATGAAGGCAGCCGGCGGGAGCACTCACATTGGTATCGGCTGTTTTCAAACTTGGGGTCGTTGTCGTTTTCATCTAAGATCAGCACTGTGATCTGGCAGATTCCGATGAGCGGCTCCTCAGCCTGATCGGTAGCTGTCACGGAAAGTGTGAACTCCCTTTGGCGCTCCCGGTCAAAACTCACCGCTGTTGTGATCACACCTGATAAAACACAATTTCATCTTGCAGTTGGTTCCATCTTCTGTGCAATATTCATCTATACTGCTTCCAAGTAGCTCACCGGTGTCAGTGTCGATCTCGAACCCGGATGAGACTCCGTCCCTGTGCATGATGCCGTATTTAACCTCTCCGTTGACCCCCATGTCAGCATCGTGGGCCTGAACCTGCAGGACAAACGCCCCTGGTAGCTGGTTTTCCAGCACTGCTGCATTGTAGTTCTGACACTGTAGGACACAAACATCCCATTCAAGGAGATACACTTATAATAAATACAAATGTTTATTAGAGTAAGGTTTAAATCTGCTACCTCCTTAAATATCGGCTTGTTGTTGTTGATGTCATTGATCCCAACGATGACCTGTGCAGAGCTGCTGAGTGGATACGGACCTCCAGAAGCATTGTCATCAGTGGCAGTGATGTTGAGGACGTACTGGGGACCCCGGAGTCTCGGAGGGGGACTACGTCGCAGCTTAATGATGCCTGTGCACAGAAACCTTTTGTTACATTAAACGTTTCAGATCTGCTAAATGTTTACAATTCATCCATTCTCTTCTGCTTATCCGGAGTCGGGTCGTGGGGCAATAGTCTAAATCGAGAGGCCCAGACTTCCCTCTCCCCACCCACTTGGGCCAGCTCTTCCGGGGGAATCCCAAGACGTTCCCTGGCCAGGTGACAGACATAGTCCCTCCACTGTGTCCTGGGTCTACCTTTAGGTCTCCTCCCAGTTGGATGTGCCCAGAAAACCTCACCAGGTAGGCGTCCTGGAGGCATCCTAATCAGATGCCTGACCCATCTCAACTGGCTCCTCTCGGCGTGGAGGAGCAGCAGATCTACTCTGGCCCCTCCTGGATGACTGAGCTTCTCAACCTACATCTGAGAGCCCAGCCACTGAGAAAACTCATTTCATAACTGTGATCTTGTTCTTTTGGTCAAAGAAAGAAGGTTTTTAATGTCAGATTGAATAAATTCAAAATGCAACTTTAAGTTCAAACTTAACCTCTCAAAATAACAAAAATTCTTGTCCAGCACAATATTAATTTTGGAATATGTTATCAAATATCCATTTTTCAGATTCACTACTGCAAAAATCCACATGCTTGACATATTCAGAAGCATGAAAAGTGATTTCTTAGACATGCTGCTCTTCAGAGAATGTAACTCCGCTGAAGAATTCAATACAAATTGTAGCAAAAAAAAATTAAAAAAGTGCACAGAAGAAAACGCCTGAAAGACACAGCTTGTTTGTCTTTTTTGTTTACAAAAAGTAAGCAAGAAAAGTTTTAAGGAAATCCTCAGAACATCTCAGTTGACTTTTTTTAGCTTCAGGTGTTTTCTGTGGGTTGTTTCTCCGTGTGAACGCTCACAGAGGAATTCATGTTGATGAGTATAAATAACAGCTGACACGTGGAGCCGAACAACACTGTAGATAAGAAGCAGTTCTGTGATGTTTTCTGCTCTGTAGGTCAACAACAACAACAAAAAAACTGTCGGCTCAAGTCTGCAAAAAGAGAGAAAAAAGAAACGACTGCATCGTTCTAACCGAGTCTAAAACAAAATTTCCCTTTTCTGCACTAATAATCACATCTGCATTAACACAATAGAGATGCAGTGCAAACAAACATGTAAACAAATAAGCAGCTTTGGCAGCGACATGTCATCAAATGTTCACGGTTATGCATGGATGCATGTGAACAATGAAGCAGTGCATGATGGGTAAAGAGACTACATTAAAGCTCTGGCCATCAACACTGCAGAGGAAAGTAGATGAAGGAGATCATGTGTAGTCTAGAGAGGAACAGAAGGCTGGGCAGCATAAGCACAGGCTTCAGTTAAGTTAGCTTAAAAAACAGATTTCTGCTTATTGTAGTGATGCCCCCCCCCCCCCCCCCCCGAAAAAAACCCTAGAAAATATATAAAAAATCCAAATTGGTCCTCAAAAAAGAAGGCATGTAAGTACTAAAATAATAAACCACATCAGAGATGCTGAGCTGCAGTGTGTGTGTGTGTGTGTGTGTGTGTGTGAAAGCTGTTGTGATTATGTGTGTATTCATGTTTTTGTATCTTATTTATGCATTGTGCGAGTGTGTCATCCAGGGGGATACTGGCCTCATTATTGCCACCATACTTTATCCCCAAATACACGTTGCTATGGAAACAGACACTTTGGTCTGTGTTAGTGTGTAAATGTAAGTGATTTCAATGCTGTGGTTTTGCCTGTGTGTGTGTTGAAGTCCTCTGCTAACTAACTAGCAAACAGCTTGTTAAAAGTCTGTGGGAAATGAATATTTATGTATTTGTTTGTTTGTTTATTTATGTGAATAGCTCCACAATAAACCCAACTGTTCAACAACCCGACTCTCTTTAATTGTGGAGACCGGTTTATCTTTCTTTGTCTCAATAAAACATTGATTTGCACAATTGTTGAAATGTTAATTTAAATTTAGTCTGAAAGAAATATTTTTTTCATTTTGTGTCGGTTTAAAAAACTTTTAGATAGTTTTGTGGAGAGGCAGGATGTTCTGGTTTTTGTTATAATACTGATGAAACAAAAATATTTATAAATGGAGAATCTTTTGTGTTTCTTGCATTGCATCATGGGATTATATGGCAAGAACAACATATTCTGACTAGAATATGATGGTTTTGCACGTTTGGAGGAGGATTTGGCGGATTCAGAATCAGATGGATCACTCTTGCTGTGTGGTTGATTGTTCGGCCCGTGGGAACTTGATAAAAAGTGTTTTTTTAAATTTACTCAATAAAGGACCGTGAAGTAAGAAAAAGGTGATTGTAAACAACCCGGAGCCTTTGAAGAAAGCCTGGATTCCTGCAGCAACAGACAGTTTGTGAGGCTCATTTTGTTCATGGTAAGTCCTTGTGACTAAGTATTTATCAGAGAAGATGTTTTTAAAACATTCATCTTTGTACATTATTAAATCCACAGTCATGTTGTTTTCCCATTCTGATCCAAGTGTCTCAATCTATGATCATTATAATAATAAATAAATAAGAACAGTGATTAATGAAGAATTACTCAGTTTTGCAGTCGCTGTGAGGATTTATCTGTTTTCTTTGGAAATCACCCACAGGTGATTTGAATCATGCTGTGGTTCTGCTCGTCGGAGGCGGACTCCTACTTTAGCAGGACCACGGATGTGTTTTGCAGAAGAAGGCGGCCCGACTTCTCTTGAAACAAAAAAATCGTTGGCAGTTGTTAAAGCCTTTAACTTTTCATGAGTGATGGGCCAGGATTTTCTGTCTCCCCAGCAGAGGTGTGAAAAAAAACAGGTGAAGCAGACCAAAGTTTTTTGTCATCCAGAGCTCAGACGGGCTTTCAATAACTTAATTTTTGTCTCCTATGCATATTTTAAGCTTCTCTCTTGTCTTTAGACGTTAAAAGTGTTAAAATGTTGGGGATTTTGCCCGCACAATTTCTTCAACGTCTTTATGTTTTTGCCACACAGCCACTTGTGTCCACCAATGTGGACCAATCACAGCACTCTTTCAGCTTTGTGGGTCAGTCAAGGCGCTCTATTGGATTGGTGGGCAGGATGACGCGACAGAGTTGAACAAGATGGCGACGGCTCTTTTGAAATGGCAAGTTTGGACTATTTGGGCTTCATTAGAATCAGGAGCACATCGATGTATTTAAGTCCTTTGTTTATAAAAAGGGTGGATTTTTGCCTTCTTCAACAGCGGACTTCCTCGTTTACTGACATCCATCGAGTAAGTCACGTTTGTTGTCCAACAGCATGCGGAGATCGTTTGAAAGACAAAAGTAGGACCCGCCCAACGGCCAAGAGCCGTCAATGGAGCGTTGCCAGACTAAATAATATATTTAATCATTTAGTCTGGCTTGCCAGGTTAGCTCACAGTTGCATCTCACCTTTCTGGTTGTCCAGCTGGAAGTTGCTGTCCTCATTGCCGCCGGTGATGGCGTAAGACACGCCATCTCCATCGGGGTCATTGGCGTGAACTATAGCAACCAGTGTGTCCGGACCAGCGTCCTCACTGAGGAAGGTCTTGTAGCTGAAAAAGGGAAAAACAAAACATTAGCATGGTTCGTATTGACACTTGATGATTGGTGAAGAATTTAGAAAAGAAGACAATCAGAGAAAAAGAGTCAAAACTCAAAAAATTTAAACGCTGCATTATTTTAAGAGAAATGGAACAAAATATGAGGAACAATACAAACAATCTTTAAAAAAATAAAAGTGAGGAAGAAGTGCATAATTGAAAATATACAAAAATATAGTGTAATAAAAAGACAGACGTGAGAAAAGAGGTGAAGAGGAAATAAAACAGAGAAAAACAGCAGGTCTGAAAATAGAGTCTGATTTTAAACACCTTAATTAGCAGCTTGACTCTGTGGGACAGACAGAAGGAGTGAAGCAGAGAAACGTTCAGTGCTGATGTTCATTAGCAAAATGTAAAAACTGAAAATCAGATTCTCACACGCTCTGGGAGAAAACCGGAGCCTCGTCGTTGCTATTGGCAACACGGACGCGGACGGAGGCGGTCCCGGTGCGAGGAGGTGCTCCCGAATCCACGGCAACGACAACAAACTCGTAGATGTGATTGGGTCGCTCGTAGTTGAGGCGACGGGCGGGGCTGACCACACCCTCTGATGTGATGTCAAAGTCTCCACTTGGAATGAAGTAAGAGAGCTCCGAGTTCACGCCTGAGTCACAGTCGCGAGCCAGAACTGAGGATGACAATGAGAGGAAGTGAGAGAGGAGAAGTGAAAAGTCACGTGACGGAGGGAGGAGAGAGAGAGAGGTGAGAAGAGGGTAAGAGAGGAAGATTTAGTGAAAACGAGCACATACACACACACACAAACACACACACACACACACACACACACACACATTCACGCACACATGCACACAGGGGCAGACCTTTAATCAACAGGAGGATGGGGGGGGTCAACATTTGCTTAATTGTTTGATAACTAATGTGTGTCTTTAGACAAAATGAATTCATCCAACCGTCATTTGGTCCAAAGCTGTCAAAGACAGATTGATCATTAAGACTTGGATAGTTTAGACTAAAACGTGGTGGTGCATCAGGTCTACACAGATCAGATCCCTGTGAGGAGCAGTGAAACTACGCTGGTGCGAGTCAGCTCGTGTTTTTGGCTGTCTGCCTAATAAGAGCAAAGCCTCACTGAAGTTTGTCTGTTTGATCTTTACCAGTCACCAGCAGCTATAACAGATGGCTGTGAAACACACACACACACACACACACACACACACACACACACACACACACACACACACACACACACACAAAATAATCCATTGATATAACAATCTGATGTTGTGGTCACTTAGAGGTTAGCATCTCTCTCTCTCTCTCTCTCTCTCTCTCTCTCTCTCTCTCTCTCTCTCTCTCTCTCTCTCTCTCTCTCTCTCTCTCTCTCTCTCTCACCTTGGAGCAGTGAGGTTCCAGGTGCGACACTCTCCGGAATGTTATCCCTGGTGTAGATGGAGTGAAGGAACTCCGGAGTGCAGTCGTTCTTATCCATTATATGAACAACGACCTGCAGAAAGCATTTCCTTACTTTTCACTTCAGATCAGTTTTTGTCCACTTCTCACTCCACAAGCAACACCAGATAAGGTATTTATACAATGTGTTTGAATATATTTGCTTTTGTCTTTCATCTTAAAAGAGTATTACACTATTTTAATTGTACATAGTGTTTGAAAGGATTATGTTCCAGCAGAATGCATAAAAAAGGTATTAAATAGTTTTAAAATAGCAAAAAAAAAGCAAAACACACCAAAAATTAAATAAATAAATAATAATAATAATTAAATGAAACAGCCTAGAATTCTGAATTTCATGATGTTTTTACATCCCACCAATGCGCATTCCGAGGAGGAACCAGAGCTGGGAGGCCTGGGGATGGACTGTCCGATCTCGGGGGCAGAAGTTGCTGAGGTAGTCAAACAACTACACAGCGGCGGAGCCCCGGGGGCGGATGAGGTTCGTCCTGGGTATCTCAAGGCTATGGATGTTGTAGGGCTGTCATGGTTGACACGTCTCTAAAACATTGCGTGGTCATCGGGGGCAGTTCCTAGGGAGTGGCAGACCGGGGTGGTGGTCCCCATCTTTAAGAAGGGTGACCTGAGGGTGTGTTCCAACTATAGGGGGATCACACTCCTCAGCCTCCCTGGAAAGGTCTACTCCAAGGTACTGGAGAGGAGGGTCCGATCGATAGTTGAATCTCAGATAGAGGAGCAATGTGGTTTTCGTCCTGGCCGTGGAACTGTGGACCAGCTCTATACCCTTGCAAGGGTGATGGAGGGGGCATGGGAGTTTGCCCAACCAATCCACATGTGCTTTGTGGATTTGGAGAAGGCTTATGACCGTGTCCCCAGGGGCACCCTGTGGGGGACGCTCCAGGAGTATGAGGTGGGTGGCTTTCTGTTAAGGGCCATTCAGTCCCTTTACCAGAGGAGCGTGAGTTTGGTCCGCATAGCCGGTAGTAAGTCGGACCTGTTCCCAGTGAGGGTTGGACTCTGCCAGGGCTGCCCTTTGTCACCGGTTCTGTTCATCACTTTTATGGACAGAATTTCTAGACGCAGCCGTGGTGTGGAGTGTGTCGAGTTTGGTGGCAGGAGAATCTCGTCTCTGCTTTTTGCGGATGATGTGGTCCTCCTAGCTTCATCCAGCTCTGACCTTCAGCTCTTGCTGGGTAGGTTCGCGGCCGAATGTGAAGCGGCTGGGATGAGGATCAGCACCTCCAAATCTGAGACCATGGTTCTCGACCGGAAAAGGGTGGCTTGCCACCTCCGGGTCGGGGAGAGGTCCTACCTCAAGTGGAGGAGTTTAAGTATCTTGGGGTCTTGTTCACGAGTGAGGGTAGGAGGGATCGGGAGATCGACAGGCGGATTGGTTCGGCGTCTGCAGTGATGCGGACGCTGAGCCGATCTGTCGTGGGGAAGAGGGAGCTGAGCCAGAAAGCCAGGCTCTCGATTTACCGGTCGATCTACGTCCCAATCCTCACCTATGGTCATGAGCTTTGGGTAATGACCGAAAGAACGAGATCGCGGATACAAGCGGCCGAAATGAGTTTCCTCCGTAGGGTGGCCGGGCTCAGCCTTAGAGATAGGGTGAGGAGCTCGGACATTCAGGAGGGACTCGGAGTAGAACCGCTGCTCCTCCGGATCGAAAGGAGACAGTTGAGGTGGTTTGGGCATCTGGTCAGGATGCCTCCTGGACGCCTCCCCGGGGAGGTGTTTCGGGCATGTCCTGCCGGCAGAAGGCCCCCGGGTCGACCCAGGACACGTTGGAGAGGTTACATCTCCAATCTGGTCCGGGAACGCCTTGGGGTCCTGCCGGAGGAGCTGGTGGACAAGGCCGGGGAGAGGATGGCCTGGAGCTCCCTAGTTGGGATGCTGCCCCCGCGACCCGGACCCGGATAAGCGGAGGAAGACGAGACGAGACGAGATGATGTTTTTACTTCATGTTCATCTGAGGCATCAAACAGAACACCATTGCTTGCAAATTTAAATAAAGTAGGGTTTAGTATGATGATGATTTTATAACTTCCTGGTCCGACGTATGATTCAGGAAAAACATAATCTATTTTATGTCACGAAGAAGCAGCCAGAGCAGATGTAATGGTTGCCCTAATTCTTAAAACAATGTCCCTGATGTCTCCCAGTGGAGCGGGAGAATCCATCCTCTTCCTCTCTGTCTCTCCTTTAAACCCCTTTAAACCTCTTTAAACATTGAGCCTCTGTGTCTTTGTCTCGCTCCTGTTTCTCTCCAGGTTTATCCCCACCCGAAGCAGCTGGAGCCCATAGAAAAAGCACTTGAGGCTGCTGGCCTGACCACCTGAGCACAGATTTCCTCTGCAGGCCTGAACTTTCCACACAACACCTGTTCACTTAGCAGCAGAGGGGGAAGCAGAGCATGGCTGCCTCTGCAAATCTGCTTGGTATATATAGAAGATTTAAATATAAACTGTGGGTAAATTGGTTATTATTTTCACTGCCGCTCTTGCAGGTATTTGTATATTTTCTGAAAGCAGAGATTTAAAAATAGGAAACAAAAACGCTTTAATTTATTTTTCTTTGCCTCAAATTTAAAAAATAAACCACAAACTATGTTGTGTGCTGCAGAAAGCAAGAACCTATCAATACCAGTGGTATATAATGAGCTATTTTTGTAGCTGCATATTATTATTTCTGTGATTTTATTTTTCATGAAAAAGGCAAATTTTCACTTTTCTTAAAGACTAAGGCCATTTATGAATACCCAAACACCATAGTACATGCTTGTGCACTTGACAAAGTACTTGCCAAGAACACAAGTCTGTTCTTGGCAAGTACTCCAGAATGTCTGTTTTACCGAATATGGGAGGATGAGGACGGCATTTGGAACAGTACCGTTCTCTGTTGCGTCATGGTTATAAAAATAGACCTGACCAAAAACATAAAAGTCTAATTTGTCCCTTAAATAACTAAATAACAAATAATGCATAGTATTTGTACATTTGGTCCACTTTTGATAAAAATTGTTAAAATAACAGCATTTTCTGCTGTTAAATGAAGACTTTTTCATCAAAACAGAGCTGTTTTAGGCCACACTGCTTTTATTTTGATAGTGGGTTAGCCAATTAGCATTTTGAAGATTAGCAAAAAGTCTGAAAAAAAACAAGGGTTTGCACGCAATGCATTATGGGATACTTTGCTGCCCAAAGTCTGTAGAAGGATGCGTTGACAGAGTCGACTCGTTTGAAACAGCTTTGGCGTCAACTTTGGACCATTTATTTATACTTGGCCTTTTCTTTGAGTCAAGAACATATAGAGGTACTTAAGTCTTTTACATAGAAAAAGGATGTATTGCATCTTCTTCGACAGTGTTTGGAAAACTGCCCAGTTGACTGACATCTGTAGCGGTGAGTACATCCCATTGTTCACTGTCTTGTAGCCAGTCGCCAGACTAAATATTCACATATATAGGATGGCTTGCCAAGCTGGCAATACTGACAAACAATTTTTAAACAGATGTTGCTGTAATTGTAAAACGAGCATCAGTTGCTCTTATTAAGTACCTTTTGCTGCATGAAAACATTACAGTTATGGAGTCTTTCAGAGGCAGCGCCTTACATAGTTGTGCAGCATTTGATTGCAAACAAGAGAAGATGGGATCATGTTTTGTAAAACTGTCAAAAAGATGCTCATGTCAGGGAGGCATGTTTGAAAATGCTTGATGAAGCTGAAGGCAACAGAAACAATAAAAGCATCATCAAATGATCTCTAATAACTCAAATATATACATATATACACACACCCACACCCACACACCCACACACACACACACACACACACACGCAATTTTATAATGAATTAGCCAGTCAGGCATAAAGAGCAGCACTGGCCTTTGGGAAGATGCGGGGAGTAGAGCAGCTCTCTGCTCCATCCAAACCATCTGGATGAAGGTGATCATGAATTTCTCAAATGTTTATGTGGATTCTCCTCACATTAATGTGTGTTAATGTGAAAATGCATCTTTATGTTGTATAAAGTATGCAGAGCTTTGAACGGCGGTTTATTTTAGGATTAAACACTTAATGGTTACAAATCGGTGTGTGTTCACATGAATTTTTAAATACAGCTTTGAAACATTTTACTGACTTTTCATCACACCGGTGCAATAGGAGGCTCAGCAGTATGTTTTACATCTGTACAGTGAACTTGCAGAATAAACATTAAAAAGGTTGCATCACAGCATCTGATTCAGTGGCGGCCTTTCCTCTCATTTGAAATTAATGAGTTTTTATCTGAGAGCAGCGGGTTTAACATTCGAAGGTCAGAACCTTTAGATGTTTTAAAATATGCAAGTGTTGAAAATGATTTTTTCTGTTCATCAGTTAAAGAGGAGCTGCGAGATCACTCAGAAACAGACCTTTTTATAGTTCATGCATCAGTTCTGTGACATGAACTCATTAAATGCTTAAAATGCTTACAAGTCCCAACTAATTTAAAGCTAAAAAGGCATGATAAAAATGAAAATAAACAAACAAAAACACAACATAGATTTAAAACGAGATTTATTTATTTGCTGACATGGTGCTTTCACAAGTATGGACTCGGTTGTTATTATCTTGGGCTGTGGTTGGCACTAAATGCACCATGAATTAATTATTACTGTGTGCTTTTCAGCAAAAAAGGTTACTGTTATATAACCTTATGTTGTTTGGTGCACTGATATCATTGTTTTGTTGTATTTTTGTGTGTCCCCGCTTTATTCATTCTTTCTGCAGGACTAGAAGCAGATTCTTGTACTTCCTTTTTAGTTTATTTTTGTGAAAACTTTCCATCTCCGTATCCATTGGGATTAAAAACAACAAAACAACAAACAAGAAACAAAACAAGATTATTCCAAAATATCATCTTTTTACATCAAAGACGGTTATTTGAAATCCATTTTTGTAGATCACTTCCTGAACAACCTGTATTACATGTAGATAAGGGTATGTCCTACAGGAGGGGCTTGTGTTGGGGTAGGCAATCCTGGTGCTTAAC